TGAAGCACCTGCCATGTGTTTCCCTGGACGGCCTCTGATTAAAAGTGATGGCTCTGGAGCGTGAGGCTGTTCCAGCGATCAGAGCACCAATCTATTTTTCAGCAGAGTGTAGACTCTGTCTCTGGGCTGCTTAAACGCCTCAAGGGCCTTCTGTCCTGGAACCGGTTCAGGGTGTGAATCATTACAAATGATATGCCCTGTAACATCAGGAGGAAGATGGCTGGGGAAGAATGCAGGGCAAAGGGATTGCGGGCTACGAATTGCGAGTGAAGCCGCTTGTCATGTTGAACGCTTGAAAGTAAGAGGCTGCAGTCAATCAAGCTCTGCGACAGCAGCTCTGTGGTTTACTGCTAATCATACTAGCTGAGCAGCTCTAATATGGTCTGGTCCTGTGTTGCAATAATGCTAGGAAGTAGGCAGTGGTCAAGCCTGTGTAATTTCCATTAGCTGTCCAGATTTTTAGTACTCGGAAGCGCATCAAGTTAATGAAGCTTCAGTTACAGAAAATTAGCAGAGAAATGAATTGCACCACCAAAGTGGGGTCAATTTGCACAGATAAATCCATGAAAAACAGTAGAGTGCATCATTGGAACTGCTCTGCTTGCACTAATGAGCAGGTTAATTGCCCATTTTGTTTTTTGTGAGGGAAAGGTCTGAATCCAATTTTCTGAAGAGCCAAATTCTGACCTTATGTACAGGGGAGAAAAATCAACTATGGAAATCTAAAAAACTATTATTTTAGCTCACTGATACAGAAAACATGGTAATGAGGATGACACAGAGACTCTCAAGAAAAGGATGATAGAGATTCCTTCGCTGCCATCAGAACAACACTCCTGCCTTGCCTGAAGCCTGGAACCCATCATAGCTGAGCACAATGTCTCCGGCTGCTAACTACCAATGCACTTTTACGGCATCTCTTCAGATGATCTAGAAGCCAGATGTCACCTGCTTCTTAATAACTTTCTGGAGGCTAGTTCTGGTCACCCAGGCAATTACCTTTACGTCAGGCCTCTAAAAGATATGTCTACCCACGGGACAAGCAGGCAACGGGCTCTGCAAGCGCTTATTACAGATAGATGTCAAGACAGATCTGACTCAGAGTGGAGCATGCTCAAGCTCAATTCTCAGGATACCATTGATTGACATACATCAAATCCAATTATAGAATAGGTGGCATAAAGAAGGAGTCTTTACAGATAGTCATTTAACTTAGCAGCTTCAGTTTTTCTTTATTTAGCTTTATTACATATCATTACTATACAAATTCAAATCTTATAAGTTGCAAATTATAGCTTTAGACACGCAAAACAAGAGAATGTTTTACATCAAAGGTGAACAATAACTTAAATAGTTCATTTTGAAGAAGATTTCGTTCAGCTTTAACAGGTTTTCTTCAAGCTAGTTTGTGATAAAAGTTAAGAAAGTACTTTTGCACTAACAATATTTTGTAGTTAATCCTACAACAGAGGTGCACAGAGATAGTTTTATTCAGGCTGTGAATTAGTAATGAGTAAAATAATGTGACAATAAAATGTAGTGCAACTCAAAGTAAGTAAGTAAGGCAAGGCAAGTTTATGTATATAGCACATTTCAACAACAAGGCAATTTAAAGTGCTTCACAAGACATCAAAAGCATCATGACAGAGGAAAGATAAAGTAAGATAAAAGCCTAGGAATGTTGTTAACCCAGATATCCCTCAAAAATAACAAATTAATTTTCCTCTCTGAAATTAGGAGGACCAAGCTAAGTGTGAGTAGGTTATAATGTTGTGGAAGCTCGTTGTTCCATTTATCTTGTTGCTTCAGCCAATGCTGATGTAACCATTAATATATGTAGGAGCAAAAATGTTACATTGACACATCAGATGAACATGTTTAATAAAACAAATAAATAACAAAGTAATAATGTTCTATATCTATCCTATTTTATTTTTTATGACTTAAACGTTTTTTTATATCATGTTTAATTCATGAAAAAAGTTTGTCATTTTCTGAAAAATGTGAATTAAGTTTATAATTAAATTAGATTTGTTATGGGGTATCTTCCAGAAACTACGCTAGTCCGAAATGTCTCCCTAGTGGCTCAGTATAGTACTTTGTTTTCTTTTATTCAGTTGTTCATCTAGATTTTCTATGCCTTAGAAGTAACAAATGTTGTAAATATCCCAGTTGTGCAACTCTTGAGTGTAAGCAACAACAATTTACTAAAGTTGATATATTGTCAACTGAGGAGTGTTTATAATGCAAGGTCAAGATTTTCATGGTGGTAAAAATAATAATAATTGTGTTTAAAGCATGTCATTTGAAGATCATGTAAATTAACTGTAAACACTTGCCATAAGCAGCTTAAACATATATTTTCTTTTTTTAAATATTAAGAATCTCGTGTCAGTCCAACCTCACTGTGTTTGTTATTACTGCGGTGGATTATACGATTAAGAGTACTGACAGCATTTATAGTCACCACCTTTATGTTTACTGCCTGCCCTAGTACTATTCTTCTCTACCTGATGCCGGGGAAATGAGGTCTGGTGTTTTCCGCTCTGTTAATTCTGCAGTTATTATCATAATAATGTCTTGTTTCAAGTTGCCCCGCAATGCCTCTAGCATAGCAGCACAGATTAAGAAATCTTAATTAAGCTTTTGTGGATTCTCCTTCATTAGACCTTGCCTCTTTTTCCAGCTTCTTGTTGTACAAAAACTCAGCTTCCTTAAGTCTGTTTTAAAGAGACACCACTTCTGCCTGTATGAACAAGGAGCGTGTGTGTATTGCTTCCTTGTGTGCGCAGCGAGACAGAGAGGGGAAAAAAAACAAAAACCAAAGCCGGTGTCAGTGCAAGCTTTCAAGTTCCCAATGCCTCATCTCTCTTGGGGCATTTAAGTATTAGATATCCCTCTGCTGATCCCCTTGTTGTCACAGCAATTTCCCCAGTTGCTCATCATACTTAAACTCCTCTCTCATTTCCATTATAATCATCCCATACAAAGCTCACCTGAGAGTAACACTGAAATACAAAATTTTGTTTTACCTCTGAAGCTGTGCTGCATGACACAAAATGTGTAATGGATTTAACAACCCGGGATGTAGGGAAGACAAGTGCCACATCTTGTTTGTTCACTGCAGAGACAAATGGTACTGTTGGTACAGATTTGATGTTCAGCATCCCCTGTTATTGTAATGTAAGAGTCAAATCAAATGATCAGCTGAGCTCAAAGAGGTATTATTAAGTGGAAGTATCACTGAGGGAATACTGGGTAGATGAAATGAATGTAGATGTGATTAGCTACATGGAAAGACATTTTTACAGTGTGGTCTCATTCATCCACATTAACAGGGAGTGACAATCTTAATTGAGCTTTTTAATGGCTGATGAATGGGCTGGATGCACTGTCAGTGGGAGACACATGGAATTCACAATGACATATCCAAATAACTAAGCCATTACCTTATCCTGATCAACTTCAAGGTAAAACTACAATCATAGTAAAGAAAAGCGTCAATTGAAAGCTACTCAGTTGACAGGGGAAGACATATGCAGCACTTTCAGATGTCTAAAGGTTCATGGAAATGTGACTGTGGAAAAACAAATTGGAGCAGCCAGACCTGGTTTGTTAGCCTTGTTCACATGTGCCTCAGTTAGGCTTAAAGCAAAATTATAATTAATCTGGAAATACTGCAGCTCAGTGAGAATTCAAACAGCCGCTGCTTAGTGCTTTCAACATCTGCTTCTCTCAGAGATCCCTGTAACCAGGCCTAAGGAAAGCCGGCACTACTAATTACTAATAAAACTAGCTTAGCTTATTGCCGTGAATTATTAAAGCTTTATCTGAAATGGACCAGGAATCACTCCTAAAGCTAAAGGCTTTGAGGTTCGAGGGCAGATCACAGTTTATTGCTGTGTCTGGATCACCACTTAGTGCACAATTCGAAGTAGAAGCCGGTGTCATTATTGGGATCCATTTCAAGCTAAAGTTCATATGCATGATGCATTCAAGAATAAAACGATGTGAAACCAACTCACATGTTAAATACAAGGGATTTACATAGTCATGTAATCTGACAAGTCGTCTCAACATATTAGAAGCATTTTATGTAAATGTAAGTTAAGCTGATGAGTGTATCTAAAAAGATTTCCCTTCGAAAGTTAAGCATTCCTTTTTTTTTCAGTTTGCTGTTTCCTGGTCACATTTGCACAAAACGGCTTTTGACGAGAGATGAGTCGTATCATAAAATGATAGAGCAAGAGGACTTCTACCTGAAAAAGAAAAGTCCTAACTAATGGTTCTGTCTTAATTTAGTGTCTTTTCACCATCTTACACCATTCATTTCATTTTTAGATGGCTCTTATGTTATGCCAAGACAATACTAGACATGCCTGCCATGCAACAACTCTCAAGTCATCACACACAGAATAGATTCCTTACAATAATAGATTTTTAGATCAATTCAATAGCTGACATTTAAAATGACAGGCCCGTGGTTTAACGGAATCAAATATATTTTAGTTATTTTCTGTCTGTATCGTAAATGGATCAGAGAAAGAACTCATGCACATTCTTTATACATGACCTGATATAGAACTTTCCACAGTCATTAAGCTGATTCAAAATTAAATGTGACTTGCCTGAGACAAATTGTAACTCAGTATTCTCACTCAGTATGCTTGTGTCAGAGATGTAAACTAAGGACATTTTATCTATTATTTTAGTTTAGTTTAGTTTAGTGAACACACAATAAAAAACTGAAATGTTTTACTCCCAATCTAAACTCCATGGCATTTTACTTCTTCAACAAGCAAGAATAAAAATATAACATGCATTACTGTTATTGCACTAGTCCATTATTGTCCTCTGAAACACCTACCAGACACTCAATGTTCAAATAAAACTAATAATCATAGGAATTATAATGCCAAAAATGTTTTGGATATGGATAATAAAGATTTATGGAATGTTTTATTTCACTGAATGTTTTCTTTCCTCTGCCTTCTCCAAAGGTCACATGCAGGAAAGCACAGGGAGGAGCCTCAGAGCTTATTGAGTGGGGAGACAGCGATAATGTGCAGAAGATTTCTCCCACAGGGGCCAGTCCACGAATCCTCAATCCTCTGCGTTTGTTTGCCAAGGGCTCCCCTGGGTTCAAAAGCAACATGAGGGAAATCACATATTTACAGAACATGGAGGACTTCTGGGACTGGTTATCTAACCAGACAGATGTTCAGGGTGCACAGGCTAGAACTAAACGCAGGCCCATCGTCAAGACCGGCAAGTTCAAAAAGATGTTTGGGTGGGGGGATTTCCACTCAAACATCAAGACTATAAAACTCAACCTGCTGATTACAGGGAAGATCGTGGACCATGGGAATGGGACTTTTAGCGTTTACTTTCGCCACAACTCCACTGGCTTGGGGAATGTGTCAGTCAGCCTGGTGCCGCCATCAAAGGTTGTGGAGTTTGAGATTGCCCAGCAGTCCACGCTGGAGACAAAAGACACCAAATCATTCAACTGTCGCATTGAGTATGAGAAGACGGACCGCAATAAGAAGACTGCCCTGTGCCGCTTTGACTCATCCAACGTGTGCTATGAGGAGCAGACACAGAGCCATGTGTCCTGGTTGTGCTCAAAACCCTTCAAAGTCATATGCATCTATATAGCCTTTTACAGTGTAGACTATAAATTGGTGCAGAAGGTATGCCCTGACTACAACTACCATAGTGACACACCTTACTCCTCCACAGGATGATCTAGCTGTTGTAAGTGTGCATTCACTTTTAGTTTAATTCAAATATGTCAATGTCAACCTTTAATCTCTTTGTCCCAAAACATCTAAATAAGTGAGACATGCTCTGGAGAGATTTGGATGCATTGTTACAAAGTTTTGAACATACTGCAGACAGATATACAGATTTAACCCTTGGGATAGTTAGGTGTTGAGGGACTTGGTTTTAGGGGTTGACTTGGGATTCAGAGATTGCTACCAACCCTGGATGACTCCTCCACATCACAACACCACATGTTCTCCTTAAACCACTGGTGTAATTAGCATGTTGTCCAGATGTTTTCTCCAAGGCTAGACCATAGGCAAGCTGTCTCCCAATTGGAAGAGAACATAATTGGCTTCTACTTTTTCAAACAATTTCCTCAGCTCATTTAAAAAGTCAGTTATGGGATAAAATATGACAAGACTTGAAATCATGACAATAGTTACAATACAAACACATAACAATTGTTGTTCACTTTGGTGTTGAAATTATATATAACCCCTTGAAGTGTTGCTACATTTTCACTTACGGATCAAAAGAATCTCTTCATTGCTTTTGAAATAAATTAACATCCATTTGTACAGACATAGGCAGGAGAGCTTTTTGAGGTTAGTCTCATCAATGCCCCCCCCCCCCCCACCCCCTTCCCAAATGTCTCAGAACAGTTAATATGGCTGTAAATGTGTTTTCCTTATCTATCTCTTATAGGGATGTTAATGGAGTGAGTTGATAGATTATATGCCCATGACAAATTATTGCTCAAGCACATCTAATCCAAAGGCAAGGGATCATAAATCATTACACAAAATATGTGCAACCCGACTCCTGTCTTTTTACTCTTTAAATGTGTTTTTTTTTTTTGCTGCAATCACAGGACGTGTATGCTTAACCAGTAGGAAATCCAACATCCGTGTTTGCAGGATGCACTTTGAGGCATCAGCTGACTGAACAGAAGAGCAGTGGATTAGGAGAGGCAGGGGGAAAGTGATAATTGCAAGACTAAGATTTAGTGAGTGTGGAAGACAATTATCAGCACTTTTTAACGGTCCTGCCACCAGTGCTAACATTACCTTCCATATGATTTAGTTTAGAGCAAGGGAACCAAAAGTAGAAAAAGTGAAATAAATAAAGTAAAGGAAAAAAAGGAGAACACTAAAGAATTGGTCTGGAATATTAATGGTAAGCAGGACTTGTTTTGAAAGTAATACACCTTTCAAGATTTCACAGCAGACGAAAGTTAACGGACTGAAAAGTTGGACAACATCAATAATTAAATGTGCTTTGACTCAGCTATCCAATTTTCAAATGAAAATCATCAAGACACAAAAGTAGTGTCATGTGGGGGGTTAGGTCATGTGCCAATCATTTCCATCATTGTTACCTTAATACTGTACCTCATGTCTTATCCCATCAGCTGTACACGACCATCAAATTAAACAAATCAAAAGGTGTATGATAAAATACTTACTAAAAGTGATCTACGTTGATGTTTTAGTTCTCCTCATTTGTGCAATTGCTGTGTATTAACGTGTAACTCTAAATCTTGACCTTTTTACTTATGGCTATACAATGTCGATTTATCCACACATTTCCAGAGAATTATATATCAAGAAGTAAAATGTATCTTATTTTTGGTGTTTGTTAAGCGATATCATGTAAATACATGTCATACTTTACTGCTTAAGGTGATATATTGTTTTATTTACATATTTGTAATCAATGCAGATTTGATTTATTTTGATTTCCTGCTTGATAAACTAAGTTTTCCCTGTTAAAAAAGAAAGAGCAATGCGTCTGTGTCCATAGTACAAGTTAAGACATTCTCAGACGTTTTAATACATTTAGGGTTCATTTTGTTAACATGAAATTGTAAAGATCAGTTTAGGTTTTTATGGCATTAAACTTTATTCAAACCTGGCTCAAAGCATATTGTCACAGTGAGTCTCATCCAGTCTCTCAGTGATCTTGCTTGTTTCATTTAAGGACTTCTCAATGGGATAAACAACTTTTCAAGAGATACTTTTATAATGGGCAATAAATCTATGTCCACAGGCATGGATACCAGAGGTACACCTTAGGGAGCACATCCATTTGCTGTGGCCATCAGTGACAGGGGTCTTTTCTTTCGCTTCCATTACTCTTATCTGATCAGGGTGAGGCACCCACTCTACAGGCATCAAGTCCAGAAGGTCTGCTGCTGCACATAACCGGATCCTTGACAAACTGTGAGAAATGTTTAAACTTACCATGATTTTCAACGGGGAGGCTTCCCACTATAAAAACTAAAATTCTGACAATTTATACATTTTGATCTGAAACACAAAAATTACCATCAGCCTTCGTACATGAGCTTAAGTGACATTGTAGATCAGCAGGATAACAATTTGTTACATCAACATTAAACGGTCTTGTTGCTTTTTTAAAAACTATTAAATTGGAAAAACTGAAACACTATTTAAATCTCCCACCTAAACAAACCACAATGTCAAGACATGTTACATTTGCGTAACCTAACAATGACTTTAATTTATCTTAACACACATATACCGTGGTTTAATATATAAGTTCCTGACAGTTCACTGTGTCAAAATGCATTCTGGGAAACATTGGAATACAGCCTGTATTTGTTAATTTGGTTTTCTAAGGCATAAAATGTGTTTTGAAAGACACAGGCTGTATATGTAGGTAAGTGTAGTCCTCGACCTTTGTCCACTTTTTAAATCTGAATTGTTTCGATCTTTGGACAGACTATGATTTTGATGCTCTTAATATGTCTATTGGCATCTTCTTCTTTTTCAAGCATTACAGTAAGTAGAGAGATGGGAGGGACAAAGATAAGGATTTGCAGAGGCGTCCTTAAGCATTGATAGTATCAGGTCTTTTCCTTGGGTCTATGCTAAAAGGGGCAGACATGGATCAGAAAGCCTCTGATGAAGACATTTTTGCAGCTGCAAAGAGCAGTCTTGCATACTTTAATTAGAGCCCCTTACTGCAAGCAAAAGTATCTTTCATGAGCTGAAAATGGTTCAACATTCTATATTTTAGTATGCTAACACAGTTTAAGCACATTTTCTTCTGCTCATAGTCGTGCTTTAAATAGAAATGTCTAAAAAAACAGGAGAGAAAAAAAAAAAAAACACTTAACTGAAATCCATGTCAATTCGCATGACTTGAGAAGAAACGGTGTAAAAAATATCAATAAAACAAACCTAGGCTGCTTCAGACAGCTGGAAAATGGTTTAATGGGTTAATGCAGGCATTCTTGCAGACAACAACTTCATTTTTTGCTTCAAACACGCTGAATGATAAGTAATATCATGTAAAAATGATTACTACTTCATTTTTAATTTACAAAATTCTCTGAAGTGTTGGTCACACCACACTACATACGAGACAGACTGAATAACATGACAACCCCCCAGTCAAACACGGAATAACATTGCCAGTGGAAGTGATGCTCAGCATCCTAAAAATATATCCAAGCATGTTAGAGGAATTTTGCACATACTCAATTCATTTAATTCTGCACAAATGTCAGATAATTGCAGAAAAAAAAGTTAAACACATAATTTGTACTTGGACACTTTCAGTGACAATAACATGACCATGCATTAGTCTCTTCTCCACTTTTTGTTAACCACAATATATTGAGAATATATACTATTAGAAAGTTGGCAATACTAAGGACAGAGGTTCTCAAAATTGTATCTATAACGGTTCACAGACGTATGATCTGGAATATGTCATTCAAATGGGAGACTAAATACTTCCATATACTTCCAATGTTTTTTTTATATGTTAGGGTAAAAGTGTGGACACTTTCCTTCTTACATGTATTATAAGGATTGACACTGGGTCTTTATAATGGCAGAATACAATTTTCCCCACAAATATGCAATAGAACAGACTCTCTTGTACACTGGTCTTCTGCTGATAGTTCAACTGTCATTTACATAGAAATGGTGCCATCAATATGGGGCATACACATCTTTTAAAAAGTGTAAAGAACTGACCTTGCACTGAAAGTGTTCATGCTTTTAATGTCTAGTCACAAAATGGGCTAAACATTACAAATATATAATATTTCCCATTCAGTTAAACCTTTGTTATGTTCCTATAGAACTCCATATCAAAATGTCTATTCATGGGAACTAGTGCAACCTGGAGGTGGCCTGGTCTTTGTGACAAGGTAGGCACAGAGTAAAATAGACAAAGTACTCTAGAGCAGCTCCAGAGCAATGGCAGATATATTAAGGCCATTTTCAAAATATAGGAAAAAAACAGTAGCAGATAGCTTGACTTGCTACCCGGCTGACCAGAATTCAGTTAGGGCAGGGCAGCAAAGCAAGCAAGCAACACCAATTTTACCAATTTTTTCCCAATCCACTGATGTCAGTCGTCCAATTGCCAGCCTCCCAACACTTGGCCAGAAAGCCCCACTCTTTATTATTCAAGTGTGTTCAGTTTTGGTTGAAATAAGAGTGGTACCCACACTAGTCCTTCCTTTGTAAACCCATGCTTCACACCTCCAGTAAATCTCTGGTGTGCAGTCAGGCAGTCAGGACTGTTTTAGACGTTTCCTGGGAAGTCCAAAGGGTGGGCATTGTGCTGAAGCCAGGGCACGGAAGGCCTCTGCTACCAAGTGAGGATGGGATTGGATCATTGACTTCCAGCCTGCAGTCTCCATTATGTCTGTAGCATGACTGTAAGCACAGTTAAAATGAAGTTACAGTCAAGACATGAGAATAAGCACATTAAAAACCTATAAACATAAATGAGATTGTAATGACAAAGCAAAGAAGGGAAACTTGATTTGCCAGTTGCATAAAACATCTGAAAAGGGCCATTAGTGCTTTCTGTCCATAGGTTAAAATTATTGTAGAATGAAAGCATTTTCACATTATGAATATAAACACACGAACGAGATGAAATGTTGTCGACATTTCAAGTGGCCCTGTAACAACACACTAAATCATCTGGGGGTTAACTTACAATAGTGACCACTCCCTTCCTTTTTTTAAATTCAACAAATATTCCATTTCCAGGTTTATCCAGGTACGAGTCTATTAATAACTTGGATACAAAGATATGACGCTTCAAACTGAAAGGCAAAAAACACTCTGTCTGCCTGGGCTAAAACAATGAATTCTAATGCATCTGGAAGGGGGAAGAGATAAGAGTGTGTTATTAATCTTGTGTCACACATATCAGCTAATTACATACTTGCTATTCCAGTTCTTTCCATCTTTACAGCCCAGCTGTCTCAGGACACTGCACCTATGGCAAGGAGATAAAAAGGTAAGCATTCAGGGCTGGTAAACAGAAATGGCAGCAGGAATTTATCACCAGAGGTTTTTTTTTTTTTTTCTCGATACTTGCCTGTTGATAAAATCTATGGCTTGTGCTTTGAGCTGCTCAGCACTGTGCAAGTCTGCTAGGATGAGGGTGTCTGCCACATTCTCCACTGAAAGGCTGTTGCACAGGGCCTCTTCACACATGACCTTTAAACGCTCCAGAGCGTACTGGGGCGGGGGGTTGAAAATGAAACAAATGAAATAAAGAAAAATACTGTGGTTACAACCTTGATGCAAAGTGGGTCCATTTGGTTTGAGGTTTTGTCGAAACTATTCTGATGTGCTGATAAAAGGTTTAATGATCATCTCATTTTGGGGGGAAATAAATGCACCTGCAATATGTTGAAAATCCAATATCACAAGAAATGAAAAAGGATTAACCTAACAGCTTTCACAAATAAGCTTGTAAATAAATTAACTCAATAATTTGCATTACTTTTAAGGAAAAAAGAGTAAATTAGAGTAATCATAAACATTTTGGCATCTTACATGATGCGTCATATTTGACAATGACAACATATGGCCAAGTAGCACCAGCTACGTCACTTTACAGACAAGTGTCACCAGAGTTTGTGTGCTTTCCTGGATCTGCACAACCCAGCAGCTCCTTTCTAGACATGCCTCTGCACTAAAACTTGCTCTGCACTACACATGAAATGTTAATGATATGGGGTTGGATTTTCCTTCACAGGTTCTAAATATATATTGCTTCACAAATTTACAGCTTATGAGACCATAAATGTAACTTTATCCAAGCGTTAAAATAATGCTACAAAACATGTATATTCAATTGAAAGATAAGGGAAGAAATACAGTAAATGGTAATGGACTTGAGCTTGTAAAGCGCTTTTCTAGTCTTTTGACTACTCGAGCGCTTTTACACCTCATGTCACTTCTACCCATTCAACCACTGATGGCAGAGGTTGCTATGTAGTGGGACCATCAGAAGTAACTAATCCCATTCATACACACTCATTCAGGGTTAAGTGTCTTGCTCAAGGACACATTGGACATGTTGCTGCAGGAGCTGGGGGTCGAACCCTCGACCTTCCGGTTAAGAGACGACCACCTCTACCAACTGAGTCAACCGCCCCTAATTAACTAACTAGTGACCCAAGTGTAATGGTAACATCATATCAACTGTACATCACTATATGAGATTATAACATATATATATATATATATATATATAGATATATTTTTTAGTGTTTCAGTGGCCAGATGTCTCGTTATCTAGACATGATCTTGGTGAACTTCAAGCCTAAAATTTAAATAATGGAAATAATGACAACAATAATATCAGATAACATTCAACGACAGACCATTTGAACTTATTGAACTAATTGACGCATAGCTAAAAATTGCAAATTGAGATTGACAAAGCAGAGATACAGGAGGGATACATTTCTCGGTTTTCATAAGAAACTAAAGCATAGAGGTCTAAATAATACTCACATTTAAATATGAAGTACTTTGGTACTCACTTTATCTGCAGCTGCCAGCAAATTGTCTGCCATCTTCTCCAGGTTTGGGGCCTTTCCTGTATATATAAAGCCCATCATTTCCTTAAAGACATCGGGGTCTACATCACTGATGTCAACACGGTTCTGAAAGGAAAGGCGAGAGATTCCCGTTTGATTTGATCAAGCAAACCCAAAAACTTTCTTTCAATATGACAAAGATTTGGACTGAGTAGATAGTTAAGCACCGTGCCATGTTAAGCAACATGGCTGATAATAAGAAGCAGACGTTACAAACACTCCTTACCTTTTTACTCTCTTCCATTTCATGTTCAAACATTGCATTAAAGACTGGAGACCTTGCTGTAAAAAAAAAAAAAAACATTGAAAAAGATGACCATAGTAAGCATGTGAGCACATCAGAGACACAAAACATCAGCATTGAACTATGACAGCACAGGTGCCACTGTGTCAGCTTTTCCCCATGACCCCTGCAGCTGCCACCAAGTCTAATGGAGACAAGCTGTGGAGGAGAGTCAGCCTATCAATCTCTTGGATCCTCAAGTCATCTGGGTCAACCAGGGCCAAGGAGAAGCAGTAGGGTGGATAAGTCTACTGCAGTACAAGGCAGCTAAAATCGAGCCAGGATTACAAAACCTTCATAGCCAAGGACCTTCACTTGCAGTTAAAGACAAGATATAAAAATGCCTTGCTAGAACCATATTGCTGCTTTTCTCCTGGCTGTTGCTAGATAAACGTGCTTTTGAACCTCGATAGTCTTACCTGCAAGGATAGATTTGTGTGCTTTGAACTCCTGCCCTCCCACATAGAGGCTGCAGTCTGTGAAGCGCGAACACTCCCACAGGTTCCCCAAGTCATCAGACAGCTGACACTCTGGTACCTTCAGCATGTTCATGTTGGACTGGCCTGAAATGTTAACAGAGTCCTGGACAACGCTTACCTGTAAAGGAGAAATACCAGAGTGAAAGAGACACTTCAGTAGTCTTATCAAGGCTAAACATCCACACAAACCAAAAAAAACCGTAAACTCTAAATATATCTATTCAGTCTAGCTTTTAGGCAGGGTTTTATCATTTAATTAATTGTTAGTTTTATTTTGATATCAATGCTCTTTAAATATTTTACTGATTTTTAACTCTTTATCTTTTATTATTTAATTACTTTATTTTTTACCTTTATTCTATATTTTAACTATTTATATTTTGTTATTTTGGATGCTTTAACTTTTTTTTGACTAAATATTTTATTGTTCTAATTTCATGTTTTTGTGTGCATTATTCTCTACTTCTAAATCCATTTTAATCGTACCGTTTTGTCATTATTTCATTTTTCTCTTGTTTTCAATCACTGTTAAGCACTTGCATTTGATTTGTAAAAAAAAAAAAAAAAAAAGCTGCTAATATTAATGAACCTTGATTGATTGAAAATGAAATATGCCTCTAATTGATTAGATTGGAAAGGCATTTTGCCTTCAAATTAAATGTAATTCTTGTGTCAAAATGGTATTTTGCCTGGAATTGTAAAATCTTTAGGGACTGTCTGTTCCTGGCATTACTTGGCCGATTGACTGTACAACAAAATGTACAGACACTTTATTAGTTTGTCACTATTAGCAACATTTTGGGGTGAATTATTCTATTTAATTGTTTTCATTGTAAACCGTGTCAGTTAGAGGAAGTATATCACCTGCTTGGAGTTATGTGTCAATTCAAGCAAACGCGGACCCTACGTTAGTAGATAAAGTGACAGTCATGGTGTAGACTGATCATGTCAACAATAAAGACACAAGATACAACTTATAATTCAAAGTAAACAATATTAAACAAATAATTATTTTGTATGCATACTTCAATATACTCCAATACCATTGGATATATATAGATGGAAAGAAAAAAGCTACAGGACTATATTTCACCAGGCCAACTGTAATGAAAAGAGACACCATGATGTCATTTTCACAACTTTCAACATTTGAAATCAATGGAAGTGGCATTCCTAACACAATTCTATTCAAAGTTGCTCTGTATTTAGATTTGTTAAGCTGAACAAAAAAAACTGTGAATATTACCTCACAGAACAGGGTGAGCTTATCATCAGGTAAGAGTCCATTGGCTTCATCAAGTAGGAAATCTCGCCTTATAAATTTTTTGAAGCCCCAGTCTTTGCCTTGGACAAATCTATATGCTCTTTGGCTTTCTGTAAAACAAAAAAGTCTTGATGTTTCCTTAATTTCTTTGCAAGTTAGAAAAAAAAAAAAGAGGGTGAAGTATCAAAGGAACACCAAATATACACAAAGTATAACTTGGTGTTATGCTTGTACTCACCCATCGCTTTTGTCTCCTCTCTTTTAGCATTCAACAAAGAAAACTTGAACTTTGCTCTGACTTCACTTTTTGGACAACTAACAAGAAGTAAATACAATGACAAATAATCTTTGCTTTCATCATCAAGTCCCTTTGGATTGACTCGCAGACACCTGGCAGGAGGACAGATAACACTGAACATCAGTAACAAAACAAAATATGAGATATACAGTAATTAGTGCCTTGTAATTCCCCTTTGCTTAGAGCGACTGTGTAGTTATGTAAAGAGTTCTTAGATTTAAAAAAAAAAAAAAAAAATTTTTTACTGACTGTCATGTTTGTGTTTTGGGAAATTCAAGGACATGAACTTGATGAGAGAAACTGAATAGAAATATACATTCAAAAAGCAAATACATAGTAGTTTGCCCATATGTGATATCCCACAGTAGGTTTAGCTTTAGTGTACAAACCATTTCATCTTATCATTTGGGCCAGAGGAGAAGGTTGAGCTCTTTAGCACCTCCCCCATTTCTTCTCTGCAAAAGCTAAAATTGTTTATGGTCCACATGTAGGAAAACTTCACAACTTTGACCTTGGAACAAGAAGAAGAAACACAAAGAACATCTTTTGATACAATTTTAAAATACAGTCAAAATAAATAAACATGATAAATAAACATGGCCACCCTAAATTACAGTAAAATATAGATTACATCAATACAATACAGAAAAACATAATTTGAAAAAACAATGAATGTGCGAGTAAATAAAGGCAATGATAACCGAGCTTCATTTAAGCCTGCCGCCAATTCAAATAAAAGGTAGGGGAGACATTGATCATCATGTACAATGAGAGAAAAAGAAATATGAGTTTGGTGTGACTTTTACAGTTTATTTAAACTGAACTTATGTCACAAGTTTTTTCCTGACTCAAAATGAGGTGGTCGTGGTTCCTTCCTACCTTGTACATATGAACTGTGCTCATGGCTCAACATGTTTACAAACAGCATTAGGAATTAGGTTTTAATTTGAGATTTGTTCCTTCTTCAATTACACAATTATTTTAAAAATGTAAATATATATTTCTTGTATTTCCTGAATGGATGTCAAATACTTAAATCTAGCATATTTATAGCGTTACCATTCACATGGAGTCTGGTGATGAGCACTTAAGCTGTATTTACACCTTACAAAATTATAAATCGGCCAGGTTTTAACCCTATTCACTTTCTATATTTTAACTGCAGTGAGACTTTTTGTCTTCAAGTTTCTCAACTACAGACATTTTACTTTTTTTTTTTTTTTTAACAATATGTTTATTGAGTTTTAAACATTTTTCCAAGACAAACAATTACGGTAAATAAATTCTAAGAAAAAAAAATATATATATAGGTACACATGCACATATACACACATTTATAAAATAAGGGGGGAAAAGTAAAATATGATAATACAAATTGTAAAAAAAAACTTACAAAACGTTGCAACATTATTACTGTCTGTATTAAATAAAAATAACCAAACATTTTACTTTTTTTTATCCATTCCCAGGATTGGAAAACAGTTTTTCAAATGTTAAGCTGATTCCATGGCTTGTTGATCCTGAATCTGTCTGTGGAACACAGCCATTTGCAGCTGTACACATGGGTTCTCAAGATCACAGGAGAACTACAAGATCACGCGGGAATAAAGGGGACAACATGGAAACAACATGTTGCTTTCTCTTTTCGTGGTTGATCCGTTTTTTGTTTGGTGCCTGTTTTGATGTAACGTTGATAAAGTGATAGGATATACAATCGGGCATCCGTAAAATGTGTTTTATTTTGAAAATGACCGGACGCTCTATGCATGCCCATAACTCCTGTCCTGTCAGAAACTATCTGCTCTGGTGCTGCTGGCATGCAACGGAGAATCAGACTGCAGAGCATGCTGTGGAAATACAAGTATTGACTAGACTGGGAGCGAACGGCACTGTAAGGCAGTTCAAAGAACATAGTGGCTAACAGAAAATGTAATGCAGCAGTTTAATTACATCCAAGTAGATCATACTCCATGCAACATGCTCCGCTGACAGACTGTTTCGCATGGAGTGGGAAATGGCTGTCAGTGTGAATGTTGTTTGTGGCAATAACTAGTTTTATCTGTTTATCACAACATTCATTCCATGATACTTAGGGCTGGGAAACTTCTTATCCTCTAAATTCCTGGGGTCACAATTCGATTAAGAATCGACTTTCGATTCAAAACGATTCTGGATACATGGATTCAAAGTCTTTTTATGAATTAGTAAATTTACTTCAGGATCTACTCAAGTCATCTGTGAGGCTGTCTGAATTTCTTGTTGCTCTATTTGGCATTCTACTAGTTAAAAAGCTAGCCTTAGCGCTTAGCAGGGAGTGACTCAAAAAAACATTTTTTTTTAACTGAGAGCATGTGCTTACAAACAGAAGTGCAGACACAAAATGAAAACAGCACATGACATCACTGTGTGTCTCTCAGGTCCATCAGTGAAGTTTAGGAAATCTGCTCCATTTTGATGTCTCTAGCGGTCACGCGTCTATAACAAATGGACGCAGGCTGAATGCGCATTCAGAGATCAGCATCGCTGTTTATAATATAATAAGGACAAAGTCATTGATAGGGACAGTTCAGTGCTAGTCATGTTTGTGTAGGGCATGCCTGTACAGCAGCGTAGTGAAAGAAACACACAAAGGCTCTTGCTAAAAACTCTTCAAATCTGCCTCTATAGATACTTCTCTTCTACTTTTGTTGTTTCGCAGCGCGTTTTCTGGCACACTGGATTGATTACCACACAGAGCTGTCATTATATCGGCATATAGCTGTAATTGCAGTTCATTTTTCAATTACAGCACCAGGTGATTTGATAATTTCTTTGTACTCCATGTACACGCCTGTCAGACTTTGACAAGGGCCGGTGTCGGTACGAAATTAGGCAGAGGCAGCTGCCGCCAAGTTTTGCATGCAGAAAAAACACTGGTTCACGTTCCTGTTTACTGTAATTCAATGGATACAGTGATAAGCTTACCTGTGTGTAACACCAGCTCTCTGCCACAGGTCCACTTGACATCTCCCCAGGAGGAGGAGGGGTGGGTACCCGGGACATCACTGGCTTTGGGGTACCAATTACTCCTGTTGTTAAAGCACATTTTTTTTACAATAAATATATATATATATATAGTCACAACTTGTGACATTATTCAATACGCAATTTTCACATATGCACTCCTGAAAATTTCTACAGAATTGTAGGACTTCCCCTTGAAATCCTCCTGATTTAGTTGTTCACACACACACCTCAATGCAGTAGACCAGTGGTTCTCAAACATCTTAGACTGCGTACCACCTCCAAAAATATTTGGCTCTCCAAGTACCACCATTATGGTAGACGTTAAAACACACTGTAGGCCTATTTCTACACATTTTACGCAGGAGGCAAATATAGTCATAAAAGAATATTATTTATTATTGACTGTTGGCAGCCACACTGTCGGACTACTAAGTGCAAGTGCTAGAACTGGCACTTAAACTCCACACAACTCTGACATTTGCCCAAATCAAAAAAAGTGCAGCACAATAAAAATGACAACTTTATACCAACAACCTGTTTGAAAATATTTAGTCTCCAGTGTTTCCCACACAAAGACGATCCCTGGGCCCAAGTATATTTCTGACCTGGGGAGAGAGCGGAGAGAGAGTGCAGGCTCCGTGCAACCAGAGCCTCTGTACTACAAGGCTCTGCGTTCAACATAGTAAAACTCCCTTTTTAAAAAATCCTTCTCGACTCCTGTGCATCGTTAAGACAGCAAAATAGAGCAGAATCACATCAGCTTCAGAGACTGTCTGTACACTCTTGTAAATGCATCACAACGGAAGTTTCTCCTGGCTCCGTTTTAAAAATGTAAATGTACAGCTGCTTGCTGCCAATTCTGTGCTGATCTCCAATAAATAACAGAATATCTGTCAATGTAGGCCTACAGCTGCTTGCTGTTGTTTCAGTACTGAACTATAACGGAGTATCGAGTGGAACTTTTCAAAACGCGAGGCGTACTCCTGTTGTTGTTTATGTCTGTGCGTGTGGGAATAAACTGAGCAGATTAAAGTCGTTTGTTGCAAAAACTAGATTAATTTAGAGGGGAAAACACATTTGATATTAATACAACCCAATAGATACAAGCCAGACAAGATAAGAGTACGACAAAAAAAATCAATCTAAAATATTGTGGAGATTTCTTTGCGTACCACCACAGGGAGCCCACGTACCACCGGCATACCATAGTTTGAGAACCACTGCAGACTATCCTGATTTAAGGGAAGAGGGGGCAGGGAGTCCCCTAAGACAAGACATAAGTAAAAAGAATGATGCGGAAGTGGTGGACAAAGCAACAGAATCTGCTGTATGAGGTTATACACAGCATATTTGCCTTATTATATCAATGCTTTGTGTACTTTGACAGAATCACAATGTCAACAAAAGAGCGGAGAAGAACAAACTGGCCAACAGAAAATGTTACGCAGCAGTTTAATTACATGCACAGAGATCATACTAACTGTGTGCATACAATTGGTCGTGCACTACTCCCAAGGAATAAATGTCACCACTGTATCCCTCTCCCTCAAGGTGAATTCCCAATGATAATATCCTGCTGTGTTCTCACATCAGCTCATTCAGAAAAAATACTAGGGGGATGGCAGGAGAAAAAGGTGGCTGTGTTCACACATGCAGCTCATGGTGAAAACTTAAGTAGTTTTGTGGAATTATTAAAGCACTAATAAAAATTGACATCACAATATTTGTAAAATACACTCTTTTCAGCATTACACTTTCAACCTATCTTGCTAACTATGGCTTTTTTCAATGTGGCATGCAATTTAGGAAAGTATCTGAAGTGTATTATGAAGTTCGAGTTTATGGCATCTTAACAATTGAAGTGGTTTCATATCGAATCTCTCAAATCATGGAGACACATGTTGCAAATAAAGTAGGCAAATAAGTGTACATAGTGATTGCCGTGTTGACAATTAAGCCTGATTTATGAAGGGGGAACTCTTCAAGACAGTATCATCAACTGCTGCTCCATATGTATCAGCTCCAACTCCAAAATAATATGCTCAGTTTCAGTCGCCATGGTTTCCTGTCCATAAACAAGCAGAGAATTTGGCGAAACGAAAAGCCAGCAATTTAACAAGCACAGAAATCTTTTACACCACCAAACTATAGTTTGTAGGCAGAGTATGAGTATGTATTGACAGAAAAGTAATGAGTCCACACACCAGACATGTCTGATGAAGAGCGAGGCCAGAAATGTAAAACGTGATTTTTCGATTAAATTCAATTTCATTGGAGCAGTGTCTGGTGTGCGGACTCAGCACTTTTTCTATCTTTGGATGTTTTTTGTCCAGCACCCAGTTCTTTAACTTTCTCGGATGCCTGTGCCTTTTTGACATTTTTGTATAAGTATGTATCACTCACAGCGTAGCTCTTAGCAGTATAGATAGGGCGTAGATTCAACACAGAAGTATAAACCAGGCTTAAGAAAGTCCTAGTAATAGGCTAAAACCCGTATGTGTCACCATGTCACATGACTGAGCAACCAGAAGCAGAATGACAATCAGCTTTATTGGCCAGGTACGCTTACACACACAAGGAATTTGACTTTGGGGAACTGCGCTCTCTATGTACAAAAGTACAACATACTAATATGTACAAGACTAAAATAGACAATAGTGCAGTAGTGAGCAGCGCAAAGAAATGCTGAAATAAACACAACAATAGAATATGTAATTATGTAACTAATAGATTAAAATACACGAGATTGACAGTTTTTGCAGTATTAACTTTAAGCAGTGTGCATTGATTGATATCAGATTGGGGGGGTACTAATATAGCAGGAGGGTGAATTTATAGTTCTTTAACAGCACTGAAACACCTGCTCACATTTTAACAGATTTGTGTCTATCAACAATACCCATCATAGAGAGCACATCTCAAAGAGGGTGATGTCGGTTTTGATTAGGAAGGGCTCAGGCTTAAAAAAAAAATTGCACACTTTGCTTGGCTCACCAGGGGCTGAATGCAATGGGCCAGGACCAGGAAAGGGCCGGAGTTTTTGGGCCCTTTTAAAGCACTGACACCTTAAGCTATAAAAGATCAACGTTAAACCCGAATCACAAAGCAAGGAAAATTCAAATCTTTTTCCATTACCTCTTGAATGTTTGACAGAACAACGATGCAGTTTTCTAAGTTATCACAGGATCCCCCATGACCCGATCTTCATGTTCCATTCTGCAAAAAAAAACAAAAAAAAGAAGAAACAGACATGAGGATTTGAAAATGTACCTGATCATATCTAAAAGCACAACTAAAATTATTGCCATGAACTTGAGCAGTAACAATTTTCTCTAGAAAGGGTATGAAATGCCATCTGAACAATTGCAAAAGTAAGTAAAGTAAGTAAAGTATCAAACAAACATTTGGGAAATTAAAGAAAAGTTTGCCCTTGACAAAGCTAAATTATTAAAAATCTAAGGCGTCAATTAGAGTTAAGCAATTTGAGTGTTAGCCAACATTGGTGGTGTAGGCCTATAATACAGAATCATATTAAATGTAAAACCTTCTTATTATGCATATGAAACACACTGGTCGGCCTATGAACCAGTCTGCTAACTTAAATTGATGAATAATTGTTTCACCAGCTGACACCTTTGCCTCAAGATTCATCAGGAATGATGCTTTTCCATGTTGGCATACACCTGGTTTGAAATAGTTGAAAGTTAAAAGTAAAACAACTTTTTGAGAAGCTTAACATCTCACTTAGCTCTTAAGCTATTCTAGGTTTGAGTGTGTGATTCAGCTGCCTTTCAAGATGATAAAAAAAACAATACACACAAATGATCACAAAGTGCTCAGCGTTAGTAGAAACTATCAACAAACCTCACAGTGCGGACTTCACTCCAAAGTCCTCTTTTGTTATTTGAAATGTAACATATTCAAACCAACAAGATGAACTGGATTGCGCTAAATCTTTCCAAGTTTATTCTCCAATACGTTACTGAAGCTAACATTTGTTCCCACTAGCCCACAATAATGATAACTTCAGGCTTACACCGCAAATGCAGCTAACACATACATGGTGCCAAATCAGTTTACGTAATATCGTTTTTTTAAAACAGTTACGTCTCGTCTTTTTCCAATTAAACTACCTTTGTGATATTAAATGTTAAAGAGGTAAGGTGGTGTGTCAAACCTGCATTAGCCTGTGTAAAACAAAGGGGCCTACAGGATGCTAAAGACAGCTAGCGGTAGTGCTCACGTTTTGGCAGTGGGGAAGACAACGGCGGGCTAACTAGCATCTAGCAGAAAGCTAATCTCAGCACTGACAGCTCACACAAAAAGTTTGAAAAAGACATGGTGACGGGCGTACCTTTCAATTTCATTCTGCCATATATATCGAGTAACGCATAAAGCTTCGTGTCAAAGTCGCTCCTTTCACCCCTCTGTCACTCTGAACTCGTTTCCACACAGTCTCTTTTCCCAGGCTTTTCTTTGTTTAATATTTATCGCTGCTAGCTTACATCTGTCTAGCAAGCTGGTAGCTTAAACAGGCTAAAAAAATATATATATATATCAAATGCGCATGCGTGAAATTTCGACAACATCCAGCTTCAGCTCATTTTCAAAAAAATAAAAATCATGCTGCAACAGCTGCTTGTGATGCAAAATCATATTTAAACTTAAATGCGACAATTATATTTAATAAGTGGCACTTTCTGATGATACTTTTATCCAAACATTAGTCTACCCAAATTAACAACCAATCTTTCAAAAATGCATAGGTTCCTCATCTATATTCAGAGGGGAATTGCTCTTTTAGGCATAGATATGCATAATGACATGCATAAAATGTGGTGGTTTGTTTATTAGACACTGCCGCACACAAAGCAGACAGTTTGTCCGTTTTCTACTTGAACATTAAATGAACAACGTGTAACTCTGACACCCTAGCGTTTAAAATGGGTACTGTAGTCTAAATTCAAAACATTGGAGAGAGCGTCTCCCCCGCCTCCTCCTCCCTAGAGTCAGTGCAGGCAGGTTGCCATCATGCAGGGGCGTGTCCAGACTTTTTTTTTTTTGACTGGGGTGGCTCACCTAGGGCATGGATGTAAGTGTGTAGGGTTGGCATGGAGTTTGAGTGCACACAAGCAAATGCATTAAAAAAGGTTTTACCCTTTCTATCCCAACTAAATATATTTTATCTTGAAAAATATAAAATTTCATAGCTTGATTCTTTAAGGGCTCTAAAAATATTTATGTGAAAATCCACAATTTAAAGTACTTAGAAAATTGCATACAATTGGTCATTTTTATGGAAAGAGCAAAAAAAAGCCTGTTGAATACAGCCAGAAGTAGATCGTACCTTTAAGTCACTGATTAGTTAAATAGCCAATCATCGATTTGGATTTCAGGGTGAAAAATAAAGGCAATGCTGAAGTGCAAAATCCTGCAGTACATCGAGTGTCCGCTTGAAGCTGGCTCAAGGAACACTGAAAGTCACATACACACAACAGGCAACAAAGCAATTTTTACAGCATAAAATAACATGTTTACAGCCTGGTACAATAACCGAAAAAAGTATGATCAGTTATTGACATCACTGATTTTTTAAAAATAATTTAAACATTTTGATTTTGAAAACAATATGTGTTATTCATAGGCGTGTAGTTGACATGATTTACAGATGGGCGCTATAAAACCCGGGCATAAAACCCGCCTCAGATCCAGATCTCTGAAATACTGAACGTTATGGTGAGACATCATTTCCAGCATGGGAATTTCAAGGGGGGGGGCATGTCATCCCTGACCACCCCTCTGGCCACGCCCCATATGTCGCAGAAACTAAAGCTTCCATGTTTAGTCAGCTCTGCATCTTGAAACCTTTTTGCATTCCAACCTCTCCATTCTCCAAAAGAATCTTAAATATTTATCCTTTGTACCACGTTTCTGGTCATGGAGCTTATTCCAAAAATGCCGAGGCTTTTTAGATCGGGTAGAATCAGTTATATCTGACCCGGTTTGCTTTTCCAGTTTAATCGCTGCAACACACGTGTTGGGTAGCCACCTTCTTCTCTGGTCTAAACAAAAACAAACCATTCTGCATCGGAACCGAAACATAGAAGGAGGACATACTGGCTGCTGCATTGTTGACAGAGAAGCCAGCACTTGCTTAATGTCTGATGATACAATTAGCTAGTTTTATGATTTAATTCAGTAAATATCTTATTCGTATATTGGACCTTTAAAGAACGATATTACCAACCTTAAAAGGGTTATCATTTTAATTAACGTCCTTCTTTTTGTACACAAGTACAATTCACTGTGCAATACTGTTTAAATGTTAGTCTTGAAGAAACATTTTCATCCCCTTGGAAAACCCACTTAGAATGGACAACTAAAGAAGGGAGAGAAGAGAAGCCAAAATATTTAGAGCTTCTTCTGATGACTGACTGTAGTAGGGCTAGATCATAAACCCAATCTCCTTCATCTTAACAGATGGAACCGGGGCACAACTTCAAAATTAAAATGTAAGTCAACATTTTTTTTCTCAAACATGGTTTCTGCATCATGTCATGAATAAATAGTGATAGGACTTCATCCTTGATAGTTGTCATAGTTCATATCATTCTGGCTTACAGTGGTATGCCCATAATGACACTATAACTTTGACAAGGGAATCAACATGATGTACCACGTGGCTAAACAACTGTGAGGGCTACAACTACATTTACTGCAGATCCATAACAATACATATAGAAAGTATCAAGGATGGAGTCCTATCACTATTTATTCATGACATGATGCTGCATCACAAACAGACATCGCATACAGCCAAAATCTGTCATTACCAAAGTAACAAGAAAAAAATCCCAATACCCAGTCATATTTACTCCATGACACTCAAGTAAAGGGAAAGATTCCATAAAATCCCCCAAAACAGATTTCAACAAGCCTCTGCACATTCCAGCTAAACTGCTGCGTTAAAACACACATACCACCGCACACACTAGGGCATAGCCAGGCCAATGAAACATCATTAACACAGAAGCCATGACATAAGTTTAAAAAAATGGACAGAAAAGTAAACTATTAAAGCTAATAGAGATATGTACTGCTTGTTATTTAAAGACAACGTCCAGTCTTCTTTCTGTCTTTAGAATAATTCAATATGCTTGTTGTGGAGTTCCATTTCCCTTCACTTTGATTCATTGTATACCCCATATATGTCAAATTCAAAACATGATTGAGAGTCCTATCTTCAGTTTGTTTACATCACCGGGACGGCCAGCCGGCTCATCCCCTCGCGTATAAAAGTTGTTTAATTGAGGGACTAGAGAAAAGAAGAATAACATACTGTACTCACTGCTTAACTGCGTTTCTAGATCACGCTCATTTCGGGCAAATTTACATGCAGTGTGAAGATACGAGCATAATAAAGATCACTAGCATTAGCATGCTGACACTACAATGCACCGCAAGTTGTTTTGGTTTCATGCTGGTGCTCAAGGGCGACATCTGCTGGATCAAAAAGTAGCATATTCTTCCTTTAATGTCATGATTGTCAGATGCTGCTCCTCCACCGACTTTACCAGATAAGCAGAGTTGAGGAGGAATGTAAGAAAAAAAGGAGGAAAAACAAGGAAACGTTAAGATATACTATCACAAGATTCAGTCAACTTTCCTTAACTGTGTAGCCTTTAATCTAACAAAAGAACTTGTTTTGCTGTGGACCTTACTGTTGACCTGAGGATTTTTTTCCCATTTTATTGGTAAGATTAATGAAGAAGAGGTGAGGCGTCGTTTGACCAGCCAGATCCCCTCTGTCCATATTTATACACAGTCTATTGTAGGATGTCTCCCTTCCTTGAGATTTGTGCAATTCAAATAAATCCTGCTAATGATGATAAAGTTAATACCACTAGAAAAAAATACATCTTTTAAATTATTGTTAAAATTTGATCATTTTTTTGGGAAAAGAGTTGATTTCAATATGGAGCAATGATAGCTTAGGTAGAATTGTCATATGACTATTTACATTTTATGTAAGGGAAGAAATGCAAACAATCAGTAATAGGGGGAGTTGTGCTCACTATCAGCTTTTATATGCATATTACTGCATAGTAGTCCATCTTCAGAGGAGAGAAAAAAACAAAGAGAGTCTTGATATAATGTAGCTACAAGACACATCAAACTCTGACTGCTGCTCACTCTTGGTGCCATGCTGTCTCCTCTTTCTGTTTCTTGTCTGGCTAACACACAATTCTCTCAAACAATGCTCTCCAATGGTTCACCTAAAGCTTGATAAATAATTCCTTTTCTGATGGATGGACACTGTTCTGCATAGTAAAGGATATTTGGCTCCTCTGCACCAGTCAGTCTGTGAATGAACAATCTGTGATTTTTCTTATACAGTGTAGTCACAACAAAAACCAAAACGCCTGTAAGCCAGGTTGGGGATTGGTTAAATATATTTTAAACACAGCAGCAAAATGTCACATTTTGAAACTGCAGCCCACATCAAATATCTTTAATATCACAGTGATGATACACTGAGCCATCTTGAAGAAGAAGGGATGGATTATAAGATCCCAGTTGCAGATATTCAGGTGTACCTATCAGGAATTTAAATCGGTTTAATTTAAGGTCAGAGAAAAAAAGGTTCCTTCTATGTGTCCACAAACAAGATGGAACAACAATTCAGAAAAAAGGAAGGCTCAGGAATGATCATTTAATTGTATTTAATAAAAGATAAAATGCTAACAATGAATAATTGGGTAAGGAGCAGGTTCAAGCACCTGTGGAACTGTATCTTTAAAAAAAAAACGTCAGTCAGATTTATATGACTGTTGCATGTTTTGCTTTGAAATGAACAGCACTGAATGCCTGCGCTGTCCTGTTTGAGATGGTCCCCGAGTATGAACACTGTAGCCCACTGCATGAATATCCTCCAACAATGGCAGAGGCAGTCTCAACCTACAATACTGTTCTAATTAAGTGGATCTCAGAATACCAGTGATATAAGTCCTGACAAGTATTCAATGCCTTAAATGATGATGACTGATAAAGACAGAACTCATGAACACAAAGACAAGGGCTACAGTCATAAAACGAGGCTCAGTGACCTTAATAGAACATGGCGGTACAGATGTTGAGGAACATATTAGGAATGACATCAGTAACATACTTTCAGCACTTGGAAATTATATCACAATGCTGAACAAAGGAAAGGTATAAAACCCCAGAAGAGTCAAATTTATTCAGAAATGATTACATCTATGTAATTAAATATATGGTAATGGCCAAATGTTGAGCAGATATAGTTGATGAAAGGTGGATTCATCAAATTATCAGTAGTCTTGAAGACAGTGATTTTTTTTTTACTATACTTTCATCAAAATCATCTAAAATTAAAACCTAATGCAAAACACATCTTGAATGACTCAAATCTGTTCTAATAAAACCCTTGCCATTGAAGAAATGTGTCCATGTGACTGCTTTATCTGTGGACAATGGTTAGATATTGGCATAAATTGTGATTTTAAAGAAGCCCTTGAT